GTATGTGGCGCCGATAGAAACACTGCTCGAGTCTGGCATCCGAAGTACCCGTGTGACAACGCTCGCCTGATCATGACACATCTAGATGTGTATAAGAGACAGCCGAAGTACCCGTGTGACAACGCTCGCCTGATCATGCTTCAACTGGGGCTGGGTGATGCTATCTGCCTAGTAGCCCTGGTGCCTATAACTGCTGTCCGGTCCAAGTCACCCTCTCAGATGGTGAGGTGATGGTTGTGAGTGATTAACACTGAGGTAGGATAGGGGGAATAGGGGTGCGCTAGGAGAATTGATGAGAGCATGGGTAGGGAGGCGGTCTCACAAAACAATTTTCAGGATAACCAATGGATGACTGGTGACTCCGACCACCGTGTGTCTGGAACCCGGCCTCTACAACAACCTGGGCTTTTAGAAATGGGAAAAAAAAAAAAAAGTTAAAGCAACGTACCCCCCGCTTCATTTTGAGAATGATTACACTATTCGAAGGATGGCCGGGGCGAACGCGGGTAACGAGTGAGCGCAGTGTCTTTGTGATTTGAAGCACGATCCCGCCGAAGGAGTCGGAAGTAAGCTTAGTAAGAACGTTGTGGTTCCTTGCAGCGTGTCCGCCATAGCGGGCGCATCGCGGGTAACCGTTTCTGGGAGGAGAGAGATGGGGGAAGAGGTATGTCAGAAGGGAGTTGGAAACGACGATGAAAATAAGGAATCGCGGGGAAGGTATGTGCTGCAGGGTGAGACACGGATCAACGGAACGAGAGGGTACAGACCTATAGGCGTGAAGAGATGGGATTGGAGTTCGTGGGGAGAGATTGGGGAAGGGATTGGGAGTACAGACCGGCCGAAGGTAGGAGTAGGCAAGGGAGTAGTATGAAGACACGTACAAGCACTTTTGCGACAGTATAAAAAAAGGGAAAGGATGCATATCATCGCACACGAGTTTTTGGGATGAGTACTAATGCCCCCTGAGGAGCTTGCCGATTACACCGGCAGCGAAACGCGTCGGGGCGACGCGTACCTTGCTTCATGCAGATTTTAAGAACTGAGTACAACACTCTTTTTCGTGTGAGACATTGCGTCTACTTCTTGCGTCCATGTGTTTTTGGTTCTCTTGTGTTCCTCTGTCCTTGGATCTCTCTCTCTCTCTCTCTCTCTCTCTCTCTCTCTCTCTCTCACACACACACACACACACACACACACACACACACACACACAATCAGTTTTATGTCTGTTAGTCTTTTCTTCTGTTGTTTCCTCTTTCTGATTTTTTCTAAGTTTTTTTTTGTGTCCCCGACTCAGCACCCTTAGGTAGTGCCAAACAGTCGGTGGCTCCTCGTTTGGAGTGCCAACTGCACTCTTAGGGGGGCCGCTCGGTTCGGGATGTCTGTGTTGCCTGTGGGTGATGACGGATGCTCGGCGGAGTGTCTCCCTGGCTCAGTGGGTGGTGGGAACCAACAGTCTGTGGGGTTCACCCGTGATGTGAGTAGGTGATATGCTGCTTTGCTCCGTGTTGGATGTGTGGACGACCCCGTCTGCGCTTCACCACTGCCTTGCTGCCCGTTTCGCTTGCCTCGCAGGTCGTTCTTGGCATGCTGCTATCTTTACTGTGTGGTGTGGCCGGGTTGTGGTGTTGCCTTGCGCTTCGCTGCTGCATTGCCGCCCGCCCGCTGGTCGTGCCTTCTGGGTCCTTTGCTTGAGCGCCGTGTAGTTTGGTTGCCGTGTTGGGGTTGCCTTGTGCCCCTCAGCATGGTCGCTCTGCTGCTGGTCCGCTTGCCCTCTCGTCTTTTGCAGTGTGGTTGTCTTGGTAGTGTTGCCTGGTGCTTCACTGCTTGGGTGCCCTGCTGCGAGTTCGGCGTGCCGTATCGTGCCTTGCAGTCGTTTTTGGCATTGTGCAGCCATGTTGCCTCTACTGCGCTGCCTGGTGCTCCGCAGGGTTGCTGCCCGCTGCTATGTTCCGCTTGGGGACAGTCTGCCTTCAACAAGGGTCAAAGGGTTCATGACCCAAACCATCAAATACGGGGATTCCGCAGATTGTCGAGGGTTCAGCCTCCTGACGAGTAGGTGCACTCTGACAAAACAATCTTTCATCATCTATTTATTATTATTTATTATTATTATTATTTTTTTTTCAGTCTTTGTCTAGTTTACACTTGTATTTTTTTCGGGGGTTGTTTTTGCATTGTCGTTGTTTGTGTTGCTGTTGTTTCCCTCGCTGCCTTGCGCTGTTTGCTTGCCCATCCGTCTACCCCATGCTTTTCATGTAGTGTGCTTTGTTGTTGTGTGCTGTTTGCCTGCCCACCCACCACCCCCATCCCCTCCAGCCTATATGCTTTGCTGCCTTGTGTTGTTTGCTGTG